AATAATCTTATAGGAGATTCTATTTTTGTATATTCTATCCTTAATAGTAATTAGACTTATAGGAACTATAGTAAAAGGCCTATTAAATAGTAAATTATTATTAAGCTATCTTTCGACTTATATATTATTCGAGAATTAATACTTTCCTATAATTCCAGACTTATAGATTACCTAACTAAAGGTATTTATTTGTCTAGTCAAATAGACTATATTCGAAGTCTTTCTTTCTATTACTTTTAGTAGATATTTGCCTATTTCCTTAGCTACTTCCGGCTTAAATTTATTAGAAATAGAAGAGTAATTAATATCTTTAAAGAACTTCTTACCAAAGGTAGTAGCCTTTTTATAGTCTATAAGGAAAATATAGCTAATATTCCGATATTCTTTACTAAGGTAGAATTTGCTACTCAAAGCTTTAGTAGTAGCCAGATCTTTAGTATTGCCTTTATATTAATTATAATTAATGTTTCCAGAAATAAAGTATTAGACTAGCTAAGGGTAAGTAACTAAGTAAATAGAATACTTGCTTAATACCTTATAAAATCCAAACTATATTAGTAGATCTATTATTAAAAGTTAAAAAGCTAAAGTAAAATAGCTATTACTAAGATCTCTATATATTAATATATTGTTTTTTCGGAAATAGAACTATAATATCTCTATTTCCTCTATTAAGAGTTCTCGAATACTAAACTTCTTAATCTACTTTAGGTAATCCTTCTTATAAATATAGCTATTTATACCCAAATTAGTAGTACCAGACTCAGGAATAGGAACTATAGTATTGAATTGGATCTATAGATTAGAGCAAAATTAATTAGAAATATAGTATTTATATTTATACTTTTTAATTTCTTGATTCTTAAAAAAGAAATCCTATATCTCCTTATTTATTCAAGTAACAGAAATATATTTCTTACCTTTAGTAACTTTATAGATCTTAGTAATTACCTTTAGAATATCCTTAATCTCTTATATATTAATAGAGAGAATATTAGTAAATTACTAAATATATATTATATAGAAGGCTTTAAGGAATCTATTATTAATCCTATAGTATTCTCGCTTATAAATAGATCCTATAATACTACTATATACCTCCTTAAAGGTATATTTATTCTACTAAACAAGTATTAATTTCTATTTAGCTAATATTTTATAAATATACTAAATACCTTTATTAAGTTCTCTGAACTTAATATTTCTGGTCTTCTACTTCTTGGTTCTGGGTATAATTAAAAGAGTCTTTTTAGACGGTATCTTTCCCTTTAGTATAAAGGGCTCTTTTTTATTTTTTTCTATTTTACTAATTTTATACTTAGTCTAGTATTCAGATTTCTACTATCTATTAAAAGTCTTAGGCTCAACTTACTTTCTATCCTTACCAGATTCTTCTTATCTAGTTATACCAGTTCTACTAGTCTTATTAGTTTTACTAGTCTTACTAGTAGCTTTCTTATTAGGTTTTATTAAATTAGTTCTATTTTTCTCAACTGGATCCGGTTGAATTAAAACTGAAATTATAATAGGGGCTTATTCTTTAGGCTTATTTCGGAAAGCAGGAAAAGGCTTATTACTATAAGCTCTCTTAATTAGGATTCTGGAAGTATTAAAGGTATACTATCCAGCCTTGAAATTATTAGCTAATAGTAGTTTAAATTCCAATTCTCTATATTCCGAAATAGCTTTAGTATATTTAAATACCTTAGTAATATCTAATTTAGTAAATATACTAGTATTCCAATACTTCTTATCTTTAATATATTCCAAAGTAGTTTTATTAATTAACTAAATAGCTTTATATACTAAAGCTTTTATTTTAAAAAGAAAATATAACTTCTTATAGATATTTTTACTAAAGTTATTACAGATATTATTAATATATTAGCCGAAAGTCTTATTATATAGTATAATTCCATTCTGATTCTTAGTATTAAAACCGTTTATTATAGTCTTAATCTTATTAAGCTTCTCTTATCTGCCTTTGGAAATACCTTTAATAATATTCTCAAATTCCCTATTATTAGCTTAGTAGTTCTTTAGCTTCTCTTTAGTTAATCCTAGTCCAGTTCCGTTTCTAATAAAGGTTTTCTACTTTAAGAGCTTATTATATATACTACTTAGCTTATCTAGGATATTTGTATTAAATTCGGTAATTACAGCTATTTTTTCTGGTATTAGTAGGCCTTCTATAACTGCCTAAGCTCTTTTAATACTCTGAATTTTAATACTATTAATCTATAGGCTTTCAATAATACTACGGCTTATAAGAACTAGCTACTATACTTTACTAACTTAAGGAATCTGTTCTTCGGCTATTTTGTTATTCTTAATAAGTTATAAAGATATTATTAGTATAATAGTTATAGGTTATAAGGATTTCTTTTAAATATATTCCAAAATAAAGAATAAATTAGAATAGTTTTGGATTATATAAATATATTATATATATTCGAGTTTTTTTTTCTTTCTAGTAAGAAAACAAAACTAAAATAGTAGTATATATAATAGGGAAAGTAGGTATAATAATTAAATATATTTAAGATAATATAGTTATAAATTGGGAATAATTATAAAAGGTAAAATATAGAGTTAGGCTTCTATTATAGAAAAGAATATAAATATATATACCTAAGGAAATATAATTAAGGAAATAATTAAAGCAGGTTAAACTAAATAGTAATAATAGGGAAATAAGAAGATAATATAATAGAAATATAGATATAGTAATAGTATTTGAAGTATTAGAATATAGAAGGAAATAATAAAAATTTTATAATATAGGTATATCCCGATTTTTTATTTATTTAGAGATATTTCTATTAACTCAAAAAATAGTATAAAAGAAGGGAAATAATATAGGAAATATATAAAAGGTAAAATATATAAGTATACTAAAGATATTGGGAAAAATATAAAGTAAGTATTAATAGAAAAGGAATTAGAATAATAGAATTAAGAAATAATTTAGAATAAGGTATTGTTTTTTCTAAAACTAATCTATATCTCTTTCGAAAGCTAATTACATTTATTTAGTACTTATTAGAATTGACTTTAAATAGTATAAAACTATTTAGTTATTTGGGACTTTAAAGTAATATCTATATTAATAAAGGTAATATTAAAGGTATTAGAATATATAGAAAAGAGAACTATAAGATAGTATAAATAGGGTTTATAGTATTATTATTAAGTTTGGAATAGTTAATATAGAATATAAAAAGATCAGATATTCCGAATTAGTATTAAAGATATAGGAATTATTTAGATAATATTTAATAGTAAGAAATAGATTAATAGTAAGAATTAGTAAATTATACTGGCTTTTTAAAGAAGTAACCGGTTTCTAGTAACGAAACGGTATCTTAATTAGGGAATAGGTTCTATATAAGAGAAGTTCTTTTTATATAGAAATAGGAATATATAATATACTAATTAAGCCTCGGTATAAGTTTTAAAAGCAGCTATAGTTATATTAAAGAGGAAGTAGGTTTTCTAGTATAAGGTAGGCTTTAAATAAATAGATTTAGTTTATCTAATATCTAAGAAATTTCTAGAATTATATATTATTAAATATTTTTAAAAATATCTATTAGGTTTAATAAGGTTTCTCTTTCCTCTTATAGGACTTCTAGTTTATCTATTCTATCTATATATAATTTCTAATTAGGAAGTTTATTTGGATATTATAAGGAAACTTATAATAGTTATTTAAGTTAAAGTCGAGATCTATAGATATTATAATTAAGCTTTAGACTAGTATAAGTCATAAGAATAGCTAGTTAAAAAGGCAAATAGAATTCCTAAAAGGTTCCTATCTTAGTAAGATATATATAAAAGACTATATTTCTTCTTTTCTTTTTTTCCTAATTCTAAATATAGTTATTATTCGTTATTATAGTTCGGAATTAAGAGTTTATAAGGTAATTTCTTAATTCCCTATTTATTTTTATACTAAAAGAAATCCTTTATATTCAATTTCTAAGATCTAGTAATAGAATTTCATATATTAAGAATACTATCTAGTAGTAATAATCAGATAATAGTAAGAAATAAATAATAATAAAGCTTATCCGATTTCTAGAATAATAGTCCGATAATAATATTATTTAAAGGTTATAAATAATAGTTAGAAGGAAAATTCAAAAGATATATAAGGAATTAAAGATAATAAGCTTTATTTCAGATTAAGAAAAGTCTCTATTATTAGATACTTCTTTCTAGTCTTTTATAAAAGAAATATACTTTATTCTTTTTAATTCTAGTAACTCTGGAATATATATAATAATACTAGTAGCTTTCTTAATCTTCTAAATACTATTTCGCTTATAGTATTTTATAATTGTTTTCTTTTCCAGTTCTATATTTATTTTAAAATATTTGTTTATAGGTATATATTTATTATTAACTTTATCTTTAGGGAAATACCAGAATCCATTTCTTTTAATAAACTATTTAAATTAATTCCCGGTATATATCTTTTGGAATATAGTACTATTAAGCTCTTCTAGTATATAATATCCTTTTAGTTAATCTATATACCTTATTCTATACAGGCCAAGCTAGTAATATAGTAGCTTTATATTTCTTAACTTATCTTAATTTATTAATTTAATATTATATATAAGAACTAGATTCTTTTCAGAAATAGACTTTATATAAATCTGGTAAATAGTATTAAATTATTCTTTTCTCTTTTAATATTATTTATTCTTTTTTATTCTGGCTTTTTTAATATCTTCTTCTTTTATCTATATTTATTTTATATATATTTCTAGAAGTATTTCTCTATTATAAACTTTATTTTATCCAAATATTCTCTAGGTTAGAAAGTATATTTCTATAAGTAGTATAGCTTTTCTACTATAGACTATATAAAAGGAAGTAAATCCAGTCGGTCTATATATAATAATTCGGCTAGTAAATAGAATATATAATAGTAAATCTATCTAAGGCTTTTTTCTATCTATTATAAATATAATAAGTATTTAAATAATTAGTTAATATCCTCTTTTAATTATATTATTTCTTTTAGAATTATAGGCCGAAATAATAATTCTATTAATTTCTAGTTTATTAAGTTCCTGAATTACTACTCTTTTGAATTCCGATTTACTATTTACTTTAAGCTATTTAAATAAACTATACCTATAAACGATTTCTTTCCAAATAAACTTAGTAATCTTTTTACTAGTTAGGTTCTTTAAAGGTCTAGCTTTAACTCACTTTGAAAAGTTGTTTCTAGTAATAACTAGTAAGTTATATTCTTTATAGTCTAATAATTTAATTATATTAATTTCAAGGTAATAGAAAAGAAATATAGCTTTTATTAAATATAGAGCTTTTTCTTATCTTCTTTTATTCTTATACTAATAGACTTTATAAATATTAATATATTTCCGTATATAATTATAGTAATCTTTCTAGTAATAGTAGCTAGCTATTAAATAAAGAGTACTTTCTTTTCCGGTATATCTAATTTTATTATATAGCTCTTTAATAATAATTTCCCTTTATTTTTAATTATTAATAATAAGTTAAAATAGATATACTTTAAATATAACTCTCTATAGTAATTGATTTCTTATATTATAATTTAAAGCTTTTCTATTTAACTTTCGAAACTCGGTTCTAGATATTTCTTCTAGTCTAGAGAATATTATAAGGTATTATATAATATTCTAGTATTATTCGAAATAGCTATTATCTAAAGGATTTAGTAAAATAGTTAGGTTATTAAATAAAGTATAAGAATTAGTATTATTATTTACTATTTTACTAGAGGTTATATATAAAAGACTATAGCCTTTATTATATAATTTCCGGATTTTATTATTTTTTAATATTACTAATTTACTTCCAGATATAGTAAGGCTTTAATTATTAATTTCTAATAACTAGATACTATTATTCAAATATCTAATAAAAGGTTTGGAAGTCGGATTTCTTAAAACAATATTATATAACTAAACCGGAACTACTTCTTTTAATTGAACTTTCCGTTTAATAAGTACTATTTCAATAGTATTAAGCTCTATTACTAATTATTTATTAATATCCTTATTATCTTTGGTATTACCTTCTTACTATAGGTATTTTGATAATCCGTTAGTAGTAGTATATTTGGTTCCTTTAATATATTTAACTTTAAAGTCAAATAGTTGAATTTATACTAGCTAGTAAATAACTAGAATTCTAGAAAGATCTATAGCTATTTTATTTAGCTATATAATAAGTATATTAGTATCTAGTTTAAAGATAAAGTAAACTCTATATAGCTAGAATTATACTTTTTATAAATACTTTACTAGCCTTTAGTATTCTCTTTTAGTAATATTATATCTCTATTTAGTATTATTTCAGATTCCAGACTTATATTATATAACTTTCTTTTTTCCTTTATTATTATATTAACTAAGAGTTCTGTTCTATTTATCTAGGCTAGTATTAATTACTAATATAATTATTTCCCAACCTTTTAATAGATTATAATATAACTTATAGAATATCGAAATAGTAGTAAGCTTTTTTTAAAGGATTTATATAGCTTGCTTTTATTTATTATTCCAGTTCTATATTATATCTTCCCTTATTAAATAGTAAATAGGTTTAGTAATAACCGTAAAGTCTTTAATCCAAATATAATAGTAAATAATAATTCCGATAAATACCTTACCTTTAGTTATATTATTATAATATTTCTATTTTAAGATCTTAGTAATTCTTAAACTCGAAGGGCTTCTTCTAAGTATTTTATAGATAAAGCCTATAATAACTATACTATTATAATAGAACTGTGATTTTTCTCTAATACTAGCTCTGGCTTATTTAATTCTATCTAAAGTTATATTCAGGTTTTAAAGGTATTTGAATATAAAATACCGAATTTCAGGTAAAATAAACTACTTATTATAATTTATATAAGGTCTCTTAACTCTAATATTATTAATAAATAGTATAGTAATTTTAGAAAACAGATTCTCTAGAATAGTTATAATAACCTATATAAATTATATAACGGAATTAGTAGTTCCCTAAAATAGTATAGTTATTTTTAATAGCTCTAGAGGTATTATAAATATAGTTAAATCTCTACTATAAATATCTAGTATAAGTTAATTATATCCGGAAAAGAAATTAATTAGAGAGGTATAAATATATCTAGTAAATTCCTCCGAGATTTCATTAGTAGATAGAAATAGGTTAGTATCTTATAAGATTACTAAATTCATCTTTATAATAGTATTAATTAGTCTATAAGTCCCAATAACCTTTTTTATAACCGAGAACTATAAATTCCGGTAAGGTCTATTATATTTCTTAAAAATTCTATAATCTAAATATTCTAATAATATTTTTACTATTACTAGTACTAGAGCTTTGGGATATAGGAAATTCTTCTCTTATTAGGCTTTATATTTAATAGTTTTAATTAGAATAGGTAGACTAATATTCTTATAGACTTTTCCTATTTCTTTCTAATTAAATATAATTATACCTTTTTAATTAACTATTAATTCTCGGAATATAGCCAGTTTCTCTTCCTAAAGCTAGTTACTAATATCTAATTATTTAAAATATTCCGGAATAAGTTATAAACCTTTTAGAATAGCTAATATTCTTAGTAAAAGATAGTTCTTATATTTTCTAGTATATTTCTATAAGTATTCTCTAGTTTTGGATCTTTTAAACCAGTCCGGATATCTATCTGAGCCTTTTCTAGTTCTATTATTAGTATCTACTAATCGAATCTTCTTATTCTTTATTTTATATATTTCCGTAACTAGAAATAGACTATAGTTATTATCTTTTTTTTTAAGAGTTATAGCCATTTTTTCTAGTACTCTTTTTATCTAATCTCCGGAATTTATAACCTTTCTACTTAGCTTCTTTCTAGTTAGATATAGAGAATACCTTTTTGTCTGATATTTTAATATATCTTTTTTAAGTTTCTATATATTCCAGAATTCTTTCTAGTCTTGGGTTTGATATTTCTTAGCTTCGGAAATATATTTCTTTATTATTAGAAGATATTATTCTATTTCTTTTTTAGAAACGTCTTTACTTAATACTCTTTTTACTTCTTTTTCTATTAAATCCGGAACTATTCTTAATAATATTCTAATTAGAACCTTTTCTATTTCAGTTTCTCTAAAAATATTATTAATTTCCTAAACTCCTAAATCCAAAATAAAAGAATTTATAGGAAATTCCGGTATTTTTCTATTTTCCCTAATATTATTACTAGTTATAATACCAGGCTCTATTTTTCCTCTTTATTTTCCGTTTCCTGTTCTATATTACTTAATTCCTTAATTCTAGAAGCTTAGTACTTTTGAACTATTATTTTCTTCTATTTCCCGGTATTCTTTAAAAATAGAATAATTATAATAGTATAGGTATTCTGGTTATTTTTAGGGTCAGTAAACCTTTTATCCTATAAACTATTACTTTTATATATAATTTTTATTTTTATTTTTACTAAAAATAGTTAACTAAACAGGATTTTTAGAGCTTCTTTAATTAAGAAAAATATATTTTTATATCCTATTCTGTCTATAACCTTAGTTCTAAGCTTTACTATTCCTGTAAATCCAAATTCTTCTCTAATAATAGTAGATATTCAATAATCTATAATATTATATACTATTCTACTAATATTTCTAGAGATCTTTTCGGAAAGAATATTAACTTTAGCTTTAGTATTAATTATTTCTTTATATTTAATATTCTTTTAAAGTCCTCAAAATACGAATCGGAGGTATAGAGATTATATAATATATTTATAAGCTAGTAATATCCGAATATTAATACCATTACTTTTAAATCAAATAATTCTATTAGTATTAGATATCTAAGCTAGTATTTCTAATTCCTTAAATATTCTATCTATTATATAAGCTATAGCTGCTAGTTCTATAGATCTTCTAATATATTCTACTATATTTAATATAATAGTATTTCCTATTTATAAAATAATAAAATAGGAAATATTATCTTTAATCTATTAGTTCTGAAATATAATAGCTAGCTCTAGTATTTTTAAGGTATTAATAAGTATTCTTATTTCTTTCTGAGTTTTCGGAAATAGAATAGTTATTTTCTTTAGTAGTTTTATTAGAATATTATTAATTTCAGGAATTCTATATTTATTATAATTAAGAATATACTAAGTTCCTAATTTATTTTATTTATTTCTGGAACTATTAATATTTATATTCTTAGCTAAGTTATCTCTTTATTTATTATTTCTTAAAATAGTATTCTTTTGGCCTTTTATATAGGATAGCTTTTCTTTTACTCTAGCTCGTTTTTAGAAAATCTTTTTAGCTATTTCTATCTCTTTTCTCTTTTTCTTTAGTAAAAAACCTGTTATAGTATTAATAGAAATACTATTTATAGCCAAATCTCAATACTATCTATTAATTCCAGAATCTAAAGTATTAGTAATTCTAATATAATTTCCCCTAAGGTAAAACAGCTATTCAGATTTCCTAGATATAACTTACTTGCTTCTATATATAGATTCCGGTTAGCTAGTTCCCTTTTCTCTTTCTTGCCTTATAAACTGGGTATCTCCTATTAATCTCTGGATATTTTTAAATTATATATTTAAGTTATAATCAAATTCTCTCTTTCGGATTTAGGAAACGATTTAGTTAAACTACTAGTATTTATTAATAAGGAAAAAGGAAATACTTTCTTATTTAGGCTTAAATAACCCTTTATATTATTTTCTATTAAATTAGTAAATATATCTATAATTTATAAGTTTTTCTATTAGTAGATAATAGAACCAAGAAATATAGATATATTCTAGATTAGTATTATTATTTTTATTCCTGCTATAGTATCTATAATAAATTCTTTCTCTCGGTTCTAGGTCTATATTATAGGCTATATTAATTTAAATAGTATTTTCTAATTATATTTAAAACTAACTTCTTCCAGAATACGGTTATTTAGACCCTCTATCTAATCTAGTTCGACTACTATAGCTATTATAATATTCTCTATATTCTCTATTATAACTTTTAGTATATCCTTTCTAAAGACTCGAATTATATCTACTAGGCTATTAATACTATTATACTGGCTATAGTTGGCTAGGCTATATAAGTAGGCTATAGATATCTTCCCGAATTATAATAGTAGCTATATTAAGTTGTCTCTATAGGTTCTCTTAAGTTATAGTAGTAATAGATAGTTTTTCTAAACTCCT